TAAGCAGGCCTTCGGTAATCTCAGATTACTGGCCGGTTACGGTGCTAAACCCATAGGGGCGGGTTTGGGTCATGACAGTTGCATTGTGTTTGGATTGGATGTCAATCCAAACACGAGGGATGAGGGACATTTCATACTCAAAGTAATGAATCGTGCCTCATTCCTTAGGTCACCAACACCTTTGATCATGTATGATAAGGTGGAGGTTCATCGAGTCTTATGTGTTATTTGTGTGCATTCATTGATATTGATTTGTGCAACTCGGCCTCTTTGGCCATCATGCATTGAGGTGCGTGATTGATGGCTCGAGAGCCGAGCACTACACTCTTTGAGCTTTAGACATGATAAGGAGTATGGTTGCACACACATTTTCTTGCAAATACACTGCCATGCCTTTGTTTGTGCTCTGTTGCAGCAAAAGGAGGAATTTGCAAGAAGTAGTGGCCGACCGGCCATCAGAGCTGCTGACCGACTATCAAATGCTGTCGATCGGCTATCAAATTTGGTCGATAGCCATAAACTCTGACCGATGGCCACTCCTCTTGGCCGACCACCCCTCAGTATGGTCCTAAGGTGGATCAAAAGCCTCTTTGAAGTTGGTACAATTTTCAGAAGTTCAAAAGAGTGCAAACAGAGGCAACATGAGGCACGGTAGTGGATTTCCAAGCAAAACCAACCGAGCATGCGTGCATCCCTCGTCACGAGGCCATTTCAGTGCTTTTGTTAACTTAGAATAAACTGTGATTTCATTTATGAAAGTGTTGTTATTAATTAGTTAATGCGTTTAATTAATTAATTCGTTTTGTAATAATTAGTTAACTAAGAGTAGTTAATTAATTTTGTTTTGTAATAATTAGTCTAATTAGATTAGTTAATTAGCTTAGCTTATCCATTCGAACCCTCCGTCGAGAGGGTACAACTGTTGTAATAAGCGTGCGTGTGTGTGATGCATGTCTTCCAACCCCTATTTCTTTCTCCCTTTTACTTAACCGCCTTCGATGGTTAGTTTTAGGGCATTTTTTCAATTAGCATCCTTATGCTTCTCATGCGTGCATCATTCATCTGTTTTGCATGCATCGGGCTCAGCGCATCATACAAGTTGCATTGTATTTCAATTCCAATTTGAATACGTGTTATCAAGTTGTATTTACATGACATCTTAGAATAGCCGAGCCTATCTTATTTGTATTTTTGTATGTGTTGCATTAGACATCTTGACATAGCTAGGAGCATGCATTGTTTTCTAACTAGTTTTCTATTTTGGCTCGAAGTACTAGGTAAGCTTTTACACTTAAGCATACTGCATAAGATGTGTATGTTGCCGTGTTAGCATGCTTGCCATGAGGCTATTTGCTTAACTACTATAACTGCATGAATGCCTGTGGATGAAGATTGGATTGCTTGAATTGGAACAATTCATCAAATGCGAGTTTTAAGCCCACTTGAAGTGGCAAAATCACGTTTTCCTAAGCCTACTTGAGGGTGGCAAACCCACGACTTAGCCTACTTGCAAGTAGCAACTTCAAACCATTTTTCAAACAAACGAACATGAGATGTTTTGTTCCAAATTGAGCAATTTAGTCTATACTTGTATGTTGTGCACATCACATAATAAAGCTAGCTAATAAACCGAAATAAGAACACATGTGTTTTTAAAAACAACATATCATGTTAGTAAAGGCCGATCCTTTGATCGGGCGAGCGGGGGTGCTCATTGCATGACCTTCCCCTTTCGTACCCAAGTTCCCAAGCTGAGACAACTATGGTGATGATGAACATGTGGCCTTAGGCACGAGTCAGGGTTTCCTAAATTTCTCCAAAATAAAATATTTAGGTGGCGACTCTGAAATCTGGCAAAGCAGTCCATGTTTGGCGCTTTTTGATTAAAATCGATTTTCCAAACCGATTTGCCCGATTTGGACTCTTTGATGATTTATCAGTCTTTGCACTTTGTGAGATTAGATTCAGAACCGTGACATAAGTCCGAACTGTTGTAGCTATGAACAACAATTCGTGCCCTCGCGCGCGAAGCGGAGTTCGGGGCGGTCTACACTTGGCCCTGATCCCCTGTCTTGAGCCTAATTCAGGCCTTCTGTCAGGGTGGTTACCTTCCATCTTGTTTAAGGCTGATCTAGGAGGCCAATCTCTGGCTCTGATTCCATAACTTGAGCCTACTTTAGGCCTCCTCTCAGGATGATTGCCCTCCATCCTGTAGTAGTTGGGTGGTCTGAACTCATGCAAATGTCTCTTACCCTTGGAGTACACTCTAGCAGTTGGTGGTCCAACCAAGAATGGCTGTTGTGTAGGACCAATTGGGTATGCTCTCTTGTTATAAGTACTAGTTGGTTTAGGGCGTCTCTGCACATCTTTGTAATACTGTTTTCCATCAATTGGGAGACCTTTCAACCATTTGTAACTTAACCTGCATTTGGGACACATCATTTGCATGACAACTATCTCTAGAGAGTCATCATCCAACGCCTCCTCACTAGAGTCCTCATTTTAGTCCACAAAGCTTTGTCTATCTGCTGGTGAACTTTTGATATCTTTTTTAGAAGTAGTCTGAGTGACAACATGCATCTGCACATTAACCTCCTCCAATTCCTTCAAGGATAGGTTTTGGAAGTCAGGCACACTAACATTGGCTATAACTTCCCCAATCTCTGGGAATGGGTTAGTGTCAATCCCCATAGCTTTCTCTACTTTGGTTGGAAACTTTAAACTCCCCTTTTGAATCTATTCTTGGATCCTGTCCCAAAAATAATACAGTTTTTAGTTGTGTGAGACCAAGAATTGCTCCCATTGGTAACTTTAGGAAATTTTCTGCAAGCAAATGATCAAAAATATCATCTGCCTTGGTTAAATCGAAAGAGTATTTCCTATGAAGGTCTTTCTTTTTAAACTGCTGGTCTATTGTAGTATCCTTATGAATTAACGCCTCACAGGTCATAGGCTCTTTCCTTACGATCTCTGCTACATCAATCTCGTAATTAAAGTCTCTATAATAAGTCTTATATGATGCTTTACTTCGATCTTGTTCTTCCTCAAGTAGTGATTCTTATCTAGACACCTTATAGGTTAATTCCACTAAGTCTCGAAACGTAGTTGAGTCGAACTTCTTTCAAAGCCTAAACTCTAAACCATTTTGAGCCAATCTCACAAATTCAGGCTCTGGTAGAATGACCCTACACTTGTTTCGTGCTCTTTTGAATCTGGCAATAAATTGAACAGCCTTCTCATCAAGCCTTTGACTCAACCTTACCAAGTTTGTTATGGAAACTTCTGGCTCTGTTTGGAAGAATTAGGCATGAAATGCCTCCTCCATTTGCTGCCAAGTTTGGATAAATCCAGGTGTAAGATTAATATACCATACCAAAGCTGCCTCAGTTAGAGAATTTAGAAAAAGTCTTAACTTCATGTAATCATTATTGGTAAATTCATCACATTAGGCTGCGAACCTAGCAATGTATTCTACTGTTGACTGGTTTCCATTCCCATAAAAAAGAGCAAAGTCTGGTATTCTAAACCCCCATTTGGTATTCATGCAGCCTATCCACCCATTCTGGGTATGGCTTCCTATATATAAGAGTTTGAACCCCCCGAGCCATAGGTCCACACATTTCTCTGACAATATTAGCAATTTGGTCTCTAAGAACCATATTTTTTGCTTGTTGGACTACCACGGGAGGAACAAACACAGGATTTGGTGGAAACCCTTGTGCCTAAGGTCCTTTTGGTCCATAGGGAGGTATATTTGGGATTGGCTGTCCCTGTGGTACTAGCTGCTGTTGAGGGTATGGTTGACCTCTCTGAGCCTGTCTTGCGAAAGGACCTGCGAAAGGTGCTGTAATAGGAAGAACATGTGTTTCTCTCCCAGCCACAGGAAACCCTTCTAATCCCTCGGGTGTGAATTCGAACAAGGGATTAGTGAACCCCCTTGTGCCAGGTACGGCTTCGAACATGGGATTTGGAAACATTCTCATGCCATTTTCTTGTGCTGACCTAGATCCACCAATTTGTATGACTTCGCTGTTAGGTAATGAGGAATTTTGGTTTACCATAGGCCTCGAAAGAGGCTTATACCAAGACTGAGGTATAAGTGATGGTATTTCATAATTTTGATTACTAGTCTGACCATTCGTATGTCCATTGCTTTTCATAGGCTGTTTATCTCTGGCCAATCTTTGCTGAGGAACATTTGAATTTTCCTCCATATGCCTTGTATTAGTTGGTTAATGGGAATTCATCCGATCCATAAAGGATATTGCCCATCTTTCCATTGTGTTCATTAACTACTATTCCATGGCATCTACCAGGCCTCTCCATGGATTCATTGGCTGAGTAGATGGAAAAGTGGATGGTCCAATTCCATGGCCTCGTCTAATATTTTGAACATGTGATGCATGTTCTGAATTACTGGTCTGTTCAACCATAGGTTCTGATGAGATAGGTGCTTACATAGGATGTGTTATTACATTATCCTCTAGATCAAGTACCTCTACCTCTCTTTCCACACCTTCTTCCAAGCGTTCATTTTCTCCTTGTCTCCTACGTCTAGCCATTTTAATTAGTCCCACTGGGCATGCCAAAAATATATGTTGGCTTTTTTTGCTTTCGAAGCTTAATATTGTAATTTTAAGCATGCCAGCAATGATTAATCAGTCCTTACAGAAGATTAATTGCCAACCAATTATCAGACGATTGTGTTTTAGTTCTCTCAGCCTCAATGAAGAGGACTTTTACTGGTGGCTTGTTTAGGAGAATTTAGTAAATAACAATTAAGTGAAGAATTATTTTAGAATTTCATTAAGTAAAAATGAAAAACTTACAATGATATGACTCAGCCTCGTAGAGGTTTACAACAACAAACTACTTGAAACTACTCCTATGAATAAAGTGCAGTACAGGAATTTGAAGTACAGAAATGTAAAGAACTGTAAAAATTGGAAGGGAAAACAAAGATATCACAACGCAAAGGAAACTTCACCGTAGAGGAAGACATGATGCTCATATCTTCATGGCTTAATATTAGCTTAGATCCAATTAGAGGAAATGAGCAAAAGTCAAAGGTATATTGGTTAAGAGTGTGGGAGAACTTCAACAAGTACAAAACCTTCGATTCTGAAAGAACTCAAACTTCTCTAATGAATCGATGGTCGACGATTCAACTTGCCACAAATAAATTTTGTGAATGTTTTGCTCAAGTTGAATGGTTGACTCGAAGCGGTTCGACAGAAAAAGACAAGGTATTACTAGAATTTAATTTTGTAGCTATAATGAATATATATTATTCATTACGTGATAGTGACTATTCTTTAATCTATTTTTCAGATTCGGGATGCGAAAAAATTGTACAAAGACTTGTATCAATTGAACTTTCCCTTTGAGCATTGTTGGAATGAATTGAGTTCCCAACCAAAATGGATGGAAGATACAACAACGAAGAAGCAAAAAAGCACAAAAAATGCATCTCCGGCAACGTCTACCCCTTGTACACCAGATTCAGTAAATTTGGGGGACAATGATAACTATGATGTTATGGAAAGACCAGCAGGAAGAAAGGTCGCAAAGAAAAACAAAGCCAAAGATCTTGGAAATAATGTTGTAGAGTCGCCTTTTGTGAAGCTCTTAGAAGTGATAAAGGTAAAAAACGACATAACAAATGAGAAGAAAATAGAGATATTTGAGAAATCTTATCTTCAAGAGGAATGAAGGATTGAAAATGAGGAAATGAGAGAGAAACGAAGGCTTGCATTGGAAGAAGGAAGAGAGAATCATGTTAATGGATATAAGTATGATGCCTCCATTGCAAGCACAATATATTCGCCAACGTCAGATGCAAATCCTTGAAAAAAGGAATTAATTGTTTCTGTTTAGCTTTGAAATTATGTTTTTATTTAATTTAAGTTTGACTGTATTTTATTTTTGGGTTTGCTGGCACATCTTGTATCAGTTGGGGTTGCTTTGCTGAGTTATCATGCTGCTAAAAATGGAAATATTTTGTGATGTTTGGGAATAGTTTCAGTTGGGGTTGCTGCTTGTTGTTGCTAATGGTTTGTCAAACAACTAAATTCATTACATCACTTTTATATGGCTTGTTGCTTGCACATTTTGTATTATTTTATTTAGAGTAAATATGATACAAGTTACAATGATATATTGTTTTATTGTTTTAGTATGGCTTATTTACAATGATATATTGTTTTATTGTTTTAGTATGGCTTATTTATTGTTTTATTGACAGAAAAAAATTATTAGCTAAAATAAATTTATTGTTTCAAAATATGATCGTTGAGATAATATGATTGTTTGAAAATATTTTTTTATAAATAATTTAATTATATATTTTAAGTAAATAAATATTTACAAATGTCATGTCAATATATGTAGTATGTCATAAAAAGATTATTTATTTATTTCTTAATGTTTATAATATTTTTCTTTTAAAAATTAGTTAAGTTAATTTGATTGGTTAGTAAAATAAAGAGTATGGTTAAAATGTACATTAACTAAATTAGCTAGGCAAAATAAAAAATAAAATTTTCTATGCACTTTGAAAAAGCATTTTGAAGAGTATGATTGGAGGTGGTCTGATAAATTCAATTCTAAACACTGAAATTGCAGGCCTTTCAACTGTGTCTATCAATAGGAAGACATGGGAAAACTAACCCTTCCTGCCCTAACACCTACATACTCATTTGGTCATACCTATATATGTATATATATATATGCATACATTTGATTAATGATTTCTATTCATAATAAATCAGAGATAAATAGACACGTACAAGTATCTATATAATAAGGCAAGAAGGATTTTGAATTTATGTCAAAAATATGTGTGAGATACATTTGATCCAATGGTCTAGATCAATTGTAATATCTATCCAATGGCTGAGGTTATATCTATATAACAAAACAAGGGAGTTGATGGGACATTTGTCTATGTGGCATACAAATCAAGGGCTGAGATCACACTTCAAGGCCATACAAATCAAAGGCAGAGATCACATTTCTCTTCCCCTCTGTTTTTCAGATTTCAAATTTCAAACATCATTCTTGAAGACGCTACCCTTCTCTCTCTCTTTCTCACCCTCACAAACCTCAACCCCTCCTTGCGTAACGCCCATTTTAGGCCTTTGATCTTTAAAGCAAAATTATCGATCTTTCCTTACAATGGACTCTGATTCGTGGACTACGCGCGTCTCTTAGCTGCCTCCAGGCGATATCAATCTCGATCTGGTCAGTCTCAGTGCTACTCACGTTCTGTTTGTTTCCCAGGAAAAATCTTATGATAAAGAAAACGAACTTGGGGATATTCAGATTTCCAGCTCGAAACTGTTGTGAAAATTACAGTCTTTGTTAAAATTTCTTTTGTGGGATTCAATTGGGGGGTTTAGTTTTTGTTCTTTTCTCTGAATTCGTGAAATTGGTTTTGATTGTAGTGCAGCTCACGGAGGAGGTGATGTTGATGGTGATGATGAGCCGCGGCTGGAGTTTCTTTGCCCGTTCTGTGCCGAGGAATTCGACGTTGCCATATCGAAGAAGCCCATCCTGTTGAAGCTAAGAATGGGGTAATCATTTTTTTTTTAATTTTATAAGTGAAAAATAAAAATAAAAATGAATACTATGTTCACTTCCGAGCATTTTCTAGGATTTCGATTCCGATACCCTAGAACTCGCTTCAATTTTTTTTTATTAATCTCAAGAAAGCCAATTCGAATTATACATTTTATTTTATGTTATTGACATAGAATTATAAAACAAAAACAAGACAACTAGGATCAAAACAAGTGGTTCTGCAGCACTATGTTCCTCTCCATTGGTATATTTACTCTTTCCTTATATTATATTTATAATGCATATTTATTTAGATTTGTGTTGTGATTGAAAAAAAGAAGAATGGAGGTAGTAGGCATTTATATTGATATTGATTTATGGGTTAATGTTGTAATGTTGTACTGATTTATGGGTTATTGTTTTTTTTTATTATTATTATTATTGTTTATGGAAGATTCTTATGTTAATGAGCTAACAAGGAAGGTTGGGGTTTTGAGAATGAATTGAATTCTTTATGCTTTGATTTTGTTAATTATACTGCACAAAAAAAGAAAGGAAAAAAGGAAGCTTTAAGATTTGAGTTACTAGGGTTTGGATTCGATACCCTTGAACTCGCTTCAATTTTAGATTACAGAAAGCCATATCACATTGTACATTTTATGTTATTGACATAGAATTGGAGTCAGTATGCATTTATGTTGAAGTTGTAATGTCGTATTGATTTTTGGGTCATTGTCCTTTTCTTTTCTTTTTTTCCAATGGAGAATTTTTATGTTACTGAGCGAACAAGGAAGTTTGGTGTTTTGAGAATGAATTGAATTCTTTATGTTTTGATTTTTTTAATTATACTGCACAAAAAAGGAAGCTTTATGTAGATTTGAGTTACTAGGGCTTTGATTCGATACCCTCGAACTCACATGAATTGGCGTCGTATATTTTATGTTATTGGATCAAAGCAAGTGATGCAAGGAAGCTTTATGTAGATTTGAGTTACTAGGGCTTTATGTATATTTTATGTTATTGGATCAAAGGATCAAAGCAAGTGATTTTGGAGCTCTGTGTTTAGCTCAATTGGTATTATTACTCTTTCCGTATGTTATAATTATGATGCATATTATGTAGATTTGAATTGTGATTGAAAAAAGAATAATAAAAGTGAGTATGTTGTAATGTCGTATTGATTTTTGGGTCATTGTCTTTTATTTGTTATTATTTTTTTTGGAGAATTGTTATGTTAATGAGCTAAAAAGGAAGGTTGGTGTTTTGAGAAAGAATTCTTTTTAATTATACTGCTCAAAAAAAGGGTACTTTATGTAGATTTGAGTCGCTGACTGATTGCAAGCAGATTATAGGGTTTCGGTTGTATACTTCAAAATTCACTTCAATTTTAGATAAGAGAAAAGTGAATTCATATTGTACATTTTATGTTATTGACATAGAATAAATATTTAAAAAGAAAAGAAAATAAGACAATACGTAAAGCAAGTGATTTTGAAGCTTTATGTTCAGCTCAATTGGTATAATTACTCTTTCCTTATATTATAATGCAGATTTATGTATATTTGAGTTGTGAATGACATATTGTAGGGGGTTGGATTCTTTGAGTTACATATATTTTAAAGAAGACTAGAGGTAGTGATTTCATGAGTTGCAAGTCAGTGATAATTATTTAAAAATAATGAAGAGTGTTTATGAACATTATTTTTTGTTTCAATGCCAACACGAAGGTTTTTGAAAATGTATCAATGGTTGAAAATGTATCAATGGTTTATGAACATTATAATAAGGAAAGAAGGTTTTTGAAAATGTATAAGTTGTTTGCTTTATCCAATTTTTTTTTTTTTTTTTTTTTTAAGAGTGATAATGTGTTCATTGAGGGCAAGTGTTATTTTTTCTTATTTTTCACTGATTTCAGTTTGGATTTTCTTTTATTCATTTACATGTGAATTCCTATTGTTTCTTTAACAAAGCATATACGCACACTTATTCCTTATCTTTTTGTTCAACTATGACATGTTTCCTTTATAATTATTATCATATAGTCTTTTGTTGAGTGACATTTTGATTTGAGAAATTAATTAGTTATTGTCTCTGAAAAAGATGGCTTTGCAAGAATGAGTTACAGAAGTTGGCATCTGGGTTTTCCTGTTTACTTGACGGAACCGTAGTTTAATATTTTTTGGTATCTAGACGAATTCCCCAGAGTGAGGGCCGCCAATTACATTGTGGGGACAACCCCCCAAAGATTGAGGTTTCCATACAACAATGTTTATTTGTCCCTTTGGAATGCATTTTCACTGGTGAACCGGAGTTGATGCATATCTTTCTTTTTATAGTATCTTTTTGTTGGCCAACGCTAATGTTTAGATTCAGTTTTGGAACTAAAATTTGACAATAGTAGATGTTGCTAAAACCTTAATTTTGACTGGCTTTGACTGGAAACTTCCACTGATAGATTGGTGATATTTTTGAGTTTGTTTCATGGTTGCTCATGGTTGTTCTGATTCAAAAAATAGTATCTGTTTTTGATAGATTGGGGTAAATAGTAATGTTTTGATTGGGGTAAATTGTTTTGATTCAAAATATAGTATAATGATTCTGTTTCTGATTCAAAAAACGGTAATTTTTTTTTTTTTTTATCCAGTTAAATTCTCAACCTTAGAGCATTCTTTGTTTTTTTAGAAAATTTGTGTTAGAATGTTTGTGTTAGAAAATTTGTATTTTTTAATTTTGTTTTGTTGGGACAAAGTTGTTCGATGTTCCGATTGTTCTCTCACCTTCCCTGAGGCTTCAAGGTTTAGGCTTCAAGGTTTGATTGTTTATCTGGGTTTAAACTGGGTTTATTGTACACAGATTGAGGAAGAAGATAGATTATAACATATACATGCATCCAAATTCCAACATATTTAACAACTTTTGTCATTAAAAATAAAGAGCAAAATTGGAGAAAAATTAACCTTTGAGTTCTGGATGAGGCACAATCTCCAAATAATCATTAAAGAGAAAAAAATAAAATAAAATTTGGCCAACTATGTGAAGGATGATGATTTAGAATGAGTATTTTTTGATAAACTATTTTGGTTCGAGAATGATTAAGTTGCTAAACTTCGATATAGTTTTTGGTCTTATAGGTGATGAGAACGCTAATGTTTTTGGATAGAAACATTTGAACAATAATAGATTGTGGTGCTGCTGCTGTTAAAGGAACTCATTGTTGTCGAAATGTAAGCATTGAAGCCCTATTTTGTTCGTAGTCTATTACTTTCATTCGTTGTGTAAGCTAATAGGGGTGTTGCAATAATCATTACTTTAGTCTTGAAGAATAGTAGTATGAATTTTTATGTGTACTATTTTGGAAACTTTTTCCAATATTTTGGAGACTTTCCAATAATCATTACTTTATGTGTACTATCTAGCTAAGGCACTAAATGTTGATCTGTGTCTGTTCCCAACGGAAACTCTTTCCAATATTTCTTCTTCTATTCAGTAAGGCACTAAATGTTGGCAATGGACCATATTTTCTTAATCCGTTAGAAATTATAGCAGTGTGCTTGCAGCTAGATATTGACAGTGGCATGCAACAAAGGACACCGATTTATGTTATGAATTAAAGTACTTTTTATTGATTTTATTATTATTATTATTATTATTATTATTATTATTATTATTATTATTATTTCCATTTTAGGTTTGATGTTATGGTTATATCTTGAGAAATACTATTTTAGGTTTGATGTTATGGTTATATCTTGAGAAGTACTTTATTATATAGATTTGGGCTGCCATTCTCTCTCTCAATCTGGGTTTATTTCCTGTTCTTCAACTGGTTTTCCACTTGGGGTTTCAATCTTTTTCTGCCTTTTCCCTTCTCTCTCTGTTTTTTTTCAGCTCTGATGGTTGTGTTTGTTTCCCTAGCATTAACCAATTGTGGTGCTGCTGTTGTTGGGAAAATTGTGGTGTTGCTGCTGTTGGGAAAATTGTGGTGCTACTGCTATTGGGAAAATTGTGGTGTTCTTGCTGTTGGGAAAGAATCGAATTGTTCGAGGGATTTAACCCATGTTAACCAAGTAATTTGATTTCTCTTTCTCTCCCTTTCTCTCTATCTCTATTTCTTTTTGGTTCTTTCTGGAATAGCTATGCTCACATTTTCTGCACAAAAAAAAAAAAAAAAGAAAGAAAAAAGAAAGAGTATGAAGAGTAATTGAGTAAAAAAAGAAGAGTAATTGAGTAATTGTATGTGAAGTCTGACTTCTTCCATATTTTTTTTTTTTTAAGTGTTGGTGCTGTGAAATGTTCTATTTTGGGTTTGGAATTGGATTGTTTTACTATGAAGCTTTTGGGTGGGGCTGTTGGCAAAATTGCAGGTTTAGTTGAAGTGCTGGTAAATTGGTGTTGTTGAAGTGCTAAATTTGAAGTTTATTTGGGTTATTAATAAATTGGTGTTTCATTTGAGTTTCATAGAATTTTGTTTCTTCCTGTGAATTCACTTTTTACTCTTTCAAAAGAAAAAAAAATTGTGCTATGTTGTGTGACTCTTTTGGGTGTCTGTCCACTTCAGATTTCTTTTGCTGTGTTTCTTTGCATGTTTGTACCAACTGTTTTTTTTTTAATATTATAAAACTTGCAGCTTTCTTGCTATTTTGAGGTTATAAAAATATATAAGCCTTTGGTTGGATTGTAAGGGGTGAGAAAAGAATGGAAATGACACAGCACATCACATTGGTTTACTGCATGTAAAGGCATTACTGTCATGGATATAAACTGTAACCTATGAGATTAAGGCCCTTGATCACCCATTTTGATTTATTTTAATTCATTTTGGACCATAATGCATCTTGCATGTAGTCTGTAGTTTATGAAAAATTTTACTTTCCTATATGATCCAAAGGTTTAGTCATGGAATTCTTGGGGTTTGTTTAGAATTTCTTGGGCTGTGTCTGTTTGTTTTGCCTCTCCCATTCTCTATCTGTTTGATTGCTAACTATTAAACTTATTTTTCTATCAGTTTCTTCATTTTCATTTTGGTTGTTTTAGGATCAGTTTGAGAGTGGAATGAACAAGAGCCTAATTTCCTCATTCTACGAACAATTAATCAAGCTGTCATGTGCTTGAATGTTTTTATTGTTTTATTTTATTTAAATTTTGTCCTTTACAAATTTCAATTACATTTTGATCCTAACATTATTTACAATGTTGCTTCAGTTGCCTTCATTATTATTTATAAAATGTTGTTGTCGGGTGTATCTTATTGCTTTAGAATTGCCAATTACATTATTGCTTTACTTGCCCTCCCACCCTCTGTTTCTTCCCAGTCCGACAAAGGCAAAGGAAACTAAATATATTCTACTTAGCTTCTTTTGCTATTTTTTAAATAGAACTCTACGGTGATCATTCTTGAATATATGTGTGAGTCTATAAAGTTGGATCAAACTGAGTTTTCTCAATTGTGTAGTTTTATTCTCATTTTAGGAAATTATATGAGCATCAAAATTATATGAGTCCTTCATATTGGTTTGGTTTGTAAACTGTGTTCACATACTAATTTTTGGTTTGGAATTGTTTTGCTTCCGCTACTATGAAACATTATTTGGCCATTTTTGCCTTATCTTCTACACTTAAATTAGGGCTTTCTTTTTCTTAGAGAGATTTCTTTTTCTTCTTTTTCTTTTTTCCTAGAGCGATTTCTTTTCTTCTTTTTCTTTTTTCCTTCAATTTGTGTAGTGGATTACAAATATTTACTTTTAGATTTGTGGATTATGTTGATTAGGTTATACAATTATTTCTCTTTTGGTCTACAAAACATGTTGATGTACACAAATTTCTCCACCATGACCACAGTAGCAGATTTGCCTCTTCCTTTTCGCAGACACCCACACTCACAACCATCTCTGCTCCTCCCTCCTTAGCGACCCTTTGTCGACATCTTGATTGCAACAACTGTAGCAACCCCACTCCCCATCTCAACCATCGCACAACTACCATCTTAGCCTCATGCAACATTGCGAAGGGTAAACACATTTATTTATATACATGCTTCAGTTTGATCAAGATTTTTAACTGCATTCGCATGATTTTACTTAATCTAACTATTGTTCTCATATAGCAGAAAGCCCTAATTTTTCACACCCTGAAGTTTATGAACAATTGAGCTCCATATACTTTGTAAATTGTTTCTCAAGAAAACATTGTAAAATTTCATTATCTTATGCAAGTGATATACGCAGAAGTTATAAGTTGATGTGAGTCATGATCGATGAAGCATCATACTCCTATTTTTTTTTTTTTTGTGGAATTAAAAGGTCTGGCAAGAGTTTGAAAAAATAAATTATAAGAAATCAACAGGGCACTAACCGATCCCTAGGGAAGACTAAAGTTTTTGCTAATTTAAAGGAGATTTCTTTTTCTTTTTCTTTTTTTCTTTAGTTTGTGTATTGGATTTCAAATATTTACTTTTAGATTTGTGGATTATGCTAATTAGGTTATACAACTATTTCTCTTTTGGTCTATAAAACATGCTAATGTGTTTTTATCTTTATTAGTTAAACATGCTGAAAGTCCAATTTTGTCATGGTTTGATTCTAGGCATGTAATTCTTTGTGTGGATGATATGGGTTTGCGTTTCCTTCACTACAAGAAATTACCCATTTGGCGACTAAATTTGGCAACCAAAATAAATTTAGTCGCCAAAAGTGTCATTTTTGGTGACTAAAAAATATATTAGTCGGCGTTGGTTCGAAGTTTAGCTACTATATTAATTAGTCGAGATATGCTATTTATTGGCGACTAAAAAACATTTAGTAGCTAAATATTAAGTAATAGGCGACCAAAAACCTGTTAGTCGGTGATAGTCTATATTTTAGGCTACGAAAAATTTAATTTGATCGTCGTATACAATTATTTGCCGACAAAAGAAAGTTTAGTTGTCAAAGACCATGCATATTTTTTGGGTTACTCTTTGCCGACCAAAGAATTTCATTGCCAAATATGAGCTTTTTGTGACTAAAAAAATATAGCAGTCATATAATAGCTATTCCCAGGAAGTTAATATCTCCTTTTTAACTGCTTAATCATTGTTGGAAACATTATTTTCATTTATTTCCCTTTTGAACTAGAAGAGAGGTAGTAGTCATACTCATACACTAGTCTTATTCAAATATGAATTTAAGAAAATATTAAGACCTTTGTATGGCCGGTCTATTATGAGTCTGGTTTTATAATTTGAATATTTTATTATATAAAAAAATTTGGCGACCATTTTTTATAAGAAAAATTAGATCGATTTTATAATCATGACTTAGTATTCATTGTAATGAAAATCCCTATTCATGCTTTACTTTTCATGGAAGTAGCCTCTCCTAATCTTTCATCTCTGGTCATATCAGATCGCTATGACATTATCATTCTGCCGCATAAGATATCCATTCATTCTTTCATGAATTGTGGTGCAGCATGTCCATGGATGATAAAAGCAGAATGTTAACAATAGCCAAACTCATAATTTGTCAATCGGCCTTATCCGCACCATCTTCTGTCAATATCATGGTCTCTGCAGTGTTCCTCTGCCTCGCATCCTCTCCTCAACACCAACACACCTCCACCACCGCGGCCACCGCAACAACAACAAACACCCACATTATCAACCTCTCCAGAATAGATGTGTGTGTTATATTTTCTGTAGTCAATTTCTTAGTATTTACCATTTCTATATCCAAAAACTAATCTATTTTTTTGTTTGTCTAAAAAATAAAAAATTAAATGATGAGCTTATATGACATTCTACTACTCTCTCTCTTACCCAATTCAAAAACAACCTCTCCAAAACAGAATGATTATGTAGTTTTATCTGTTTGGTATGTTTCTATTTGGTATTTTTTCATTTTTTTTTTTTTTTTTTTTTTGGCCCAGGTGTGATATATCTAAAGGTACGGGTTATATTCTAATTCTAATGATAGCCAAATTTCTGTTTGGCCCAAGAGTGATATATCTTCAAGTTTGTTGATGGAATTGAGGTCTTCATCATCATTTCTGTTGGTGGAATTGATCTTGCAATTTATGTGTTAAGCTTTATTAATTTGAATACATTCCTCTCTAATTTTGATCTATATTTTAATCTCATCATTAATTGTGTCGTGCCTTCAGGCACGGGCATGCGCTAGTAGTTCTATATGTATGAGTTTCATTTGATGTCATATTTTAATCTTGTATTTTTTAACTCAATTAAAACTCTAATTCTAGGAGAGAAAATCACTATTGCAATTTAGGAAAATGAGTGAGAGCACTAATTAGTGTTATTACTAATGATGTGGTAGTGAGCCCCACCAAGAATGATTTGATATTTTGGCCTTAGTGTTGTATTTTTTTTATTTTTTATTGAGTGTCATATCATTAGTGATCTTTTTAAAACTCTAAAATTAATGATCTCTATCATTGTTGTTGCAATTTATTACCTCCGCTTATCCGTGATATCTGTCAGATTATCCGTTTTTACATTCTGCTGTAATGTTTGTCATTCTGATTTTGTACAGAGCAAAATGTCATTCTGATTTTGATCAGCAGATCAAGTATTTGGATTAGGATTTGATGATTATGATGACAAGAACATCCATGGATTGTGTGGACGATGATTATAGGTGTATATATATATAGGAAAAGACTATAATATACATTCTTCAAAAAAGGATATTTATTGTATTTATTTTATAATTAAAGAAAAAAATTTATAATTTTAGAAAAAAATTTATAATTTTATATATTTTTTGAGTTATAATTAAAAAAAATTATAATCAAATAATATATGAGATATAATAAAAAATCTTATGAGTCATTAATAAAGTAAGGTCATAATTAAAGAAAAAAATGGTTAAAAGTGCATATAGTGAGTGTTTGGGAAGTAGGTTTTTTTGAGGTTTTTATGTGGTTTGAGTATTTTAGTAGAGTAGTTTAGTTTGTGTGTTTGGAAAGATGGGATGGATTATTTTGAATTTATTATATTGAAAAATGTGTTAGAAAGGATAGTGAAATGTAAATTGACCAAATTGCCCCCATTGCTATTTAATTGCACATATTTGTTAATGGCCACGTAGCTACCATTTACACCACATTAGAAACTCAAAACTGCTTGTACACGTAGGCACATTTACGTTGGTGCCAAAACACATGGTGCAAATGAATTAATTAAATTCACATGAATTAATTAATCAAGTTCCTGTTACGTTGCCATATTAAAATTAATTAAAATTTTCATTTAATTGAAAATTGCATCTATTTCTCGAGAAAATAAAAACAATTTGTTTGTCAACATTTATTGTAATTTTCACATATAAAATATAATTTTATTTTAATTTTTCATTTATTTTAATTTTCACATATGAAATTTAATTTTCACAATTTATTTTAAATTTTCATTTTATTCGAATAAGATGTAGTACTTCAAAAAAATGTAAATTTGCAACACTTTAATTCTCCGTATACGAATTAATAACCTAAATAATTTGTTACAGTCCCATTGCAATGCAGAAATACAAATTACAAATTACACAAACACATAAACTAGATAACAAGCATTTCACAATAGTCCTTGACTCCGTATGTGAAACGAATGGTCACGGATGTGCACGCGAACTCTTGCCATATCTACATCTGTATTTCCAACCATGAGGCCATCATCCATATTTTGTCTGCCTTTCGTGGCGGGCATGCCATCTGGAACAGAGGAACAGCTGACATGTTCGTTGTGTGCATTAGCAGCTATCTCGTGCCTACGGATGAAATTGTGTAAGGCCATTGATGCACCAACCAATGGCACCTGCACCGTCGCAAAATCATAATCCGACATGTCGTTCAGAAACTTCCAGCGCGATTTCCACGCTCCAAATGTTCTTTCCACCACGCTCCTCAATGATGCATACGCCTCGTTAAACAATTATCTTGGGTTATCGGGTCGTCCATGATCTCGGAACTGTGCTTGGTGATACCGGGATTTTTTGTATGGTGCCAAATACCCCTTCTTGTTTGCATATCCCGCATCCACAAGGTAATATTTACTTACATTTGGTCAATCAATTTAAGATTTTCAACAAAATTAATAATTGAGTACTTAATTTCAAATGTGTTACCTTCTTGGGGTTGTGGGAACGGTGCATGTTCGTTTTCAATTATTTCGTTAAAGATGCGACTGTCATGCATACTTCCTTCCCAACCACAAGATACGAAAATGAAGCACATGTTGAAGTCGCATACTGTTAGTTTGTTTTGCGTTGGATATCCTTTGCGACCGTAATATGTGCCGGTATCACGGGCAGGCAACACGGCTTCTACATGAGTACCGTCCAACGCTCTTATACAATGCTGCACCAATAACGTACATGACATGAGGTTTACGTACATCACATAAAATCAAAATTAACCGATAATGGCAACCAATATGCTAATCTTGAAAGGCACGTATTTCCCTCTGGATCGCAAATATGGATGTCTATTATTTTGATCTCTGGTGGGCTTAAAATGCACTTCTGTGAACAACTTCATCGTTTCCAACATTGCATGGAAATGTCGCGACACAGTTTCTCCTGAGTGTTGGAAGCGTTCCTGAAGTTTTCGATTTGTGCATCCGTCCAACGTATGGATGCACATCGCAACACTTTTTTCAATGTGTAATCCATGGGGTCTTGTAGGTACCCGTAAACCGAAGTTGCTTCGCATTGTGTCACACAACGTTTGAAACACATACAGCGACATATGCCAATTTTTTTCACGTCTGCCTATGTGCCCATCAAACAATTCTTGAATCCATGCACGACCGGTCAGAATAGAAGTTCGGCATGGGATCTTCTCCATGTACTTCAGGTAATATTCCATTGCATGCTGCGCATCGTCACTGATTATGCTTTTTTGTAGGTCTTCTTCTTCCTCTACGAGTTCGATGATTACATCATCGTAATTTATATAGTTTCTACTTTGACCTTTCCACATTATTCGTTGATGACTCCTATAATGCACACAACACAGAAATCAATTATCCAATTGTAAACTAAGCACATTTGGACCAATAACGTTCAACCATAAAATTGGAACACATCAACTATCCATTACATTACATGCAACCATTAAAGTGAACTATGCCCAGAAATAAAGGTTACAACATGATCCCATATTGCGCAAGACAAAAGTACGTACCGTCCACAAAAGTAAAGTAACAATAACTACATCGCTGTGCAATCATAGAAAAAAATAAAACAACTTAAAAAAAGACCCATAGAACTAGTCCACCAAAAACCACAGTACATGAAAACCAAAGACGTCCCATTTTTGCGTGAAAGACCAAACCGAAGTACTCACAGGCCTTTTGAAACCTACAATGCAGCAAGCCAACCGACTACATTCTCATCATGTGGCATACACATCAATATTTCCCTATAATCCGCGTTCTCTAACGCAGTGTAGGCGAAATGGAACAGTGGGGTGCTGATGAAGTTCGGGATAGCCATAAGCTGCTAAATACATGGCTCAATGCCATACTTCTGCAATACACCAGTTCCGTGCCTGACCGTCAGGTGCTTCTGTGCTTCAACCGCCTTAGACAGATGGTTAAAACTATACGCAAGAACCGATGCTCCAGTAGAGACCTTCTTCGACTTTCCACTAGTACTACCTCCCTTTTTCCTCTTTGTTCCGGGGCTTGCTTCGTCAAGGTGGACGGTGGGGGAGTTTGGAGGTGAGTTAACGACCGGTCTGTATGGCTCGGTAAATGGTGCCAACCCAGGAGAGTCCACTGAGTCAGATTCACCTTCGCCAACATCCACAGCCTTCTCTCCCGACGTCCAATGGTGTTTGCCAATCGTAGTTGCACCAGTGAATAGTTTGCGCATCAAATCTTCATGCTCCAATGGTTGTCTTGAACTTGTAAGCAATCTTGTTTGTCTGGAAATGAGAAATGAAAGTACAATTTAATTTTTCCGTCACAGTGACATGGGACATTCAACGAACAAGTGACTTTCACTTACATGTGTGTACAAAATTACAGGGGCTACTTATTACGTACAATAAAATATATGTTCATGCATCCGATTTGAGATTGTCCCACCACTCCTCCGACGCTGTGAACAACCTGGTTTCCCTGTCAAACCCAATGCCAGTCACACCCTTACTGGTATCCATTAACTTGTTCTAGGCCTGCCATTCCTTTTTCAAACTGTTGTTCTTGTTCTTAAGCTGTGTAATGTCATGACGTCTACCCGTGCGCTTAGCGAATTTCAGTGCTATTTCATTATACCCTGTTCTGGTTATGGTTGTACCTACCCGACGACCCGCTAATATTGCATCCCTAACACACTGTAAGAAGATTTCTGTCGCTGCATTGTCCCAGTTCGCCTTATGTGCATTATCTAAGCCAATAACAATGCTTTCGGTACTTGATGGGCCAACCCCTTTATTCTTAAACGGGGTGCGAGGGGACGACCGTGTTGCAGCCATTACACTAATGTGAGAGGACATATTGTATACATTAGAACGCAGTTGATGAATACCTTTCAGACATAAACTATGAACAATATGTACAAGACAACTTCCACAGTTTTATAAAAAGTAGTAGGATAATTAATAACAACGTGTAGCGTTTACATACAAACGAGGACAATGCATTTACTTGTTCAACATAGTACTTCTTCAAGACACTAACAAATGTATACATATTATTGAAGGGGTTTTTACGGGGTTTACATTCGCAATAATAAGATGATGACCATGATGCACAACACACAAATCACCGTTTTCATTACACGCAAAGTATTGAAAATGTTCACGACATCAGCCCGTAACTGCATGACATCGGTAGACCCAGAGTCATGGTCGGGTATCCGTGTCCCTGTTTCGTCACACCAACCAATCCAATTATCACATTGCTGATGAGTGAGAAACGTAAAACAGTTATTAGTTATGGGAATTACAGTGTGCATATAACTGGAGTGACAAATAATCATTTGGTATAACTCACCATAGGCCAGGGGCAAACATAATATGCACGCCCAGGATTTTTGTGAGATCTGGATACCTTCACAAGACAATGGCCATAGCCACAAGCACACATGCGCCGTGGCCATGTTGACGTGGCAGTGGAAAAAGAGGAAGCCATATGACTACACACAGAGCAAGCACATGACTACAACAGCACCACCGATTGGGGTTATCATTCAAATAAAATATGTTCGTTGAAATGTAACAGAAAATATATTACAGAAAAAAAATGAAGGAATAGCAATCTATTTTTATTACATCCCATTTTTGTGAACAGCATAACAGATTGACTAAATTGTTATTTAAGTAAACTGGAACAGTTGTGGGCATTTCAAATGCAATGCACAGTTAACATTTGTCCATTAGTTGACATCCATATTTTTGTGTCCATGTGTTAACCACATTTGTGTGCCCTTGGGAAAAACCCAAACGAACGCTGTTTTTTTTTTTTTTGTTGTTAAAATCAATTAATTACTAATTTATGAAATCTATACCTGGTGAAAGATAATGAGGCAACAACATTCCAATACACAACAACATTCCAATACAAATTCATAACGTACCATAACTCATAAATTCCAAGACTTTCAATTGTTACGACGCAATTATAAAATCAACCCAGAAATTGGAAAACATTCCGGAGGAAAAGAAAAAAAAAATGAAAAAAACAGAAAAAGAATTACAAAATGAATATGGAGGGAAAAAACAGTATGGCACATTTAGCATATACCAAGACTCAACTTTGCAAGCAAAGGCTAACAATCACATTTTAATTAAAGTCATATTAGAAAATGAAAAAATAAATGAAGAGTATAACAATAGACGAAACGGCCCAATTCAATAATCTACAAACATGAACTCCAAAAAAAAAATTAAAAAAAGAAAAACAAGTATTTGCCCAATCTTATGGACGACTGTGTGGGAAATTTTCCGATCACACTGCCAACTTAGTTATTCAACTAGAGAATACTGGCAGAATAGATGACACATGGCTGACTTGCAACAGAAAGAGAAGATTCCAGCGGTGGTTCATCCACCCGGGGACACTCCGACGATCAAGTCAGTATATCTCTCAAAGATAATCAATAATACTAAATTCACTGTTTTGAGTCTTAATTGCGTACTTTAGACCCATCGGAGGTGCCTCTCTTTTATAGTTAACTCAATCTTAGTCCCACTAGAAGCCTAGCTTTAATGGACTCTTGCTCAGTGCTTATCCTGGACTCTCCAAGAGATAAAGATAAATTCCCTAAAAGCTTTATTCTTATCCATGCTAAAGTCCTTCCTTATTTTAGGACTCTCGTTCCTTATCCGCTTATCTCGGATTCCGATATCTTCGGAGATAACCTCGGCCTTGCCGAGATCACCTCGGCGCCATAACCTGGACACATGTCACCTCAGCTAACACGTCGGCGTCACCTTGGCCACGTGTTGGGTACTCAGAAAATATGTCCCCACAACTTCTAGGTTCTATTATTTCGGCATTCTGAGGTGATGGAACCTATATCAGTATTTCCTTCCAGTACATCGGCTTAAGCCGAGCTCATCACTATAGGGCGACATGTCTTCTTAAAGATCAAGAATTCCAAGAGCTTCTTCACACGTATGAGCTGTCATGCATCACAATTCAACCGTTTTAGCCACGTGTCCTTTTCTTATTAGATCGTACTGGGTACGTGTGTCTTAATCGTCTCGCGCATGCGTGCGCCGTCTGACACTCACGTTGTTTTAGGCGCATTAACTTTGTTTTGCCACCGTTTCAAGTTTTAACAAAACTTTTTCTTCTCTCTTGGTCTTCTCACTTTTGTACTCTCAAGTTTTCAACTCTCTCTAACTTCTGAATACGCCATTGTTTAAGCTTCCATAGCTCTGCAACTTGCTCCGTTTACCCCTTCCGACGTGATTTTCACCGATCTTCCGCCTTCGTAACCGTCGTCATACTTCGACAATTCCCATTCTGGCTTCCCTCTTTCTGGTAAGCCACTACTCGTCCTGATTTCAGTTTCTTGTTACCTTACTGAACTTTACTGTTTTACCTGCTATCTTTGCAATCTTGTCCATTTTTTTATATTTCATCTTGTATCTTGTATTCCACCATATATTTGAACATGTTCGTTTCATGATTATGTTTTTACCCAAATCATCTTCTTGAATATACACTGTTCACACACCAGTTGATTTCTGCCACTGTTCTTGGCCTGATACACCTGTGCGAACCTTTTGTCTTGATTTCCTGATGGCTTCATCATCATTCTTGATTCTGAAACACATCCCTGTTTTTCTATTTTCCAAATCCGTGCATTCAATCTTCGTTTCCATAGATCTAGGTTTGGGATTTGCTTGTAGAACCCTCGATTATTAGGAAAAACTGAAACTATTTCCACAAATTTTTGCCCAACACATACTTTAGGTTTTTGCCGAGGTCCCAATAACCCTTTTAAAACACCTTCATTTTGAAACCTAGTTCGTCCAATTTAGGCCGATATCATGGGTATGTGGAAACATAAGGTAGATACCCCGAGCAAATTAGATTACTTTAGGCGTGAGTTTGACATCCCTGCCGACGTCCATCTGAGGTTGGCTGGGGATGGCGACTCCATCATGCCCACCACTAATTTCATTTCCCTTCCTGTTGTGGCTTTCATTGAGTGCGGACTTCGGCTGCCACTCAATATCCTTTTTCGCGAGATCATTCACTACTATAAGTTGAACCCAATGCAGCTTGCCATTAATTCTTACAGAGTCATAAACGGTATAATTGCTTTAGCCAAACAAGAAAATGTTAGGATCACCTTAGCCGACATTCAATACCGCTACACCATGTGTGGCCTCAAAAAAGACACGGGCTATATTTACTACCTTAAGCCGAGGTCCACAGAATACAAAATCGTAGCCGACCTCCCAGACTCCAACAAAGGAGCTGGAGACGACTACTTCATTACCTCGGGGAACTGGGAATTCACTCCAGACGAGGACCTCCATCTCTACCCTCTTCCTCAATCAGTTTTTGTAGAGGGCAATGGTAAGAGCCCTATGTCTATATTAATTTGTTTGTTTTTAAAGTCTTTAATATTTTACTTGTTTCTAATGTCTGCCATTCGTGCAGCTCTTCCTCAGCCACCAAAGGGCTTTTGTCAGTCTTTCTTTCCCAGCAAAGACTTGAGGAAACTTTTGGATCTGCCAGTCCACAAACGGAAGGCCCCTCTATTGTTTATTTTCATTCCTACGTATAAGTCAGCTCTTCCCGACGTCCCCAAGAAGAAAAAGAAGAAGAAGAGCCTGTCTCCTCCTTCTGCCACAAGTCCTCAGACTACCTCCACATCTCGGCAAGATCAAGGGTTGACCTCTGATCCAGCCGAGCAGCCGTCAACCTCGGCTCCTTATCTGATCCCAATATCCCAGCGCCAACGTCGGCGACGAATAGTTTTTGCTGCTAAAATGGGTCGCCAAAAGGCAGTTGCCAAGGATCTTTTGGCTGATATTCCTGATTCGGTTGATGCCCAACCAGTGCTAACCCAGCCAAAGCCAAAAACAAAAAGGATCAAGAAGGCTCAGCCTAAGGCAAAGGTGACTCAGGTCGATACCGAAGACACTTTGTCGATCTTGAAATTAGCTTCGAGCGAAAGGACTACTTTTGCTGCTGAGAACAGGCCAGCTGAGGGTCAGCCATCTGAATCCCCAAAATCCAAGAGGCCGAGATCATCTGCCACGACCACATCGGGGTCTCGAAAGCAGGATGCCCCCTGGGCCCCCCAGATCACTCTGGAAGATAAGCCAGCTAGGGCTAGCGATAGGGCCGATGACATAAATGTCGGTGTTGCCCTTAGTACCGCTCTACTCCTTCCTGGTGATCTCGACCGGAACGCCGAGTTGAGTGAGTATGAAAACTACGCTCTGATGCTCCAGCGCTCTATCCAAGTAAGTGTCTTTACTTGGTCATTTTTCTTCCTTTCTTGTACTTAGAAATTTTTCTAATGACTTTTGTCTTGTTCGCTTTTAGGCCATCCAGCATGCTCATTCCTTCTCAATTCAATCTTTTGAGAACCGGAAAGAACTGGCTGAGAAGAAGAGAGAAGTTGCTAGTCTGCAAAAGACTAACAAAAATCTGCAGTCAAAGATGAAGACTTTGGAGGATCAGGCTGAGGCTGCCATCAAAGCTCAAAACGAAGCCGAAGAGAAGGCGAACTTTGCTGAGGCCATCAAGAAGGTGCTTGAGGCTGAAAAGAAGGATGCCGAGGTAAAAATGGCCCAGGCCCAAAAAGAATTGCAAGACGCTCTGGTCACAAAAGAGGCCGAAGTCAAGGCAGCCGATGAGAAGGGCTACAACGAAGGGGTGACCGATGTCACGTCGGACTATGAAAAGCAAGTGAAGCAGGCATGCAACAAGGGTTTCACCCTTGGCTGGATGACTTTGCTGAAAAGGCTTGATGTCCCCGAGGACTCTCCCCTCAGGAATACCGATGTCATTCCTCTGCCATTCCCCCCAACTCCAAGCCAACCCGTCACCGACGACTCTGAGTCTGAGGAGGAGGTTTTGGTGAGGAAGCCCAAGGAGCCAAGTCTCTTCCTCAAAATGAGCAAGTCCTAGACTTGACTCAAGATGAGGAGGTTGAGGAGGTCCCCAAGGAAGCTACCCCTGAGCAAGCATCATTGGATGTGCCTCTTGCCGACAAGAGCCTTGATCAGACCTTTCAAGAGATTGATGATGAGCTTGCGGCCGAGAAGGTGGCCGAGATGTCCTCCCAACAGTCTTCTGAGATCCAGACCCATCCTGTTAATGATGCTGAAGACTCTTGATTCTATGTCTTTTTCTTTTTTCTTTTGTACTTTTGTTTCTTTGTTTTTTTGAGACAATGTAAGCTCTTCATATGGCCGACGTGCCTTTTAATGAATATAGCTTCCTTCTTTCTTGAATGTTTGCTTGTTTGTCTTTCCTTTATTGCTTCTTGTATGATTTTCATACTTAGAATAATTTTGTGTCTTTAAGATGTACCGTAGTCTTGTGCAATCTTCTTGTGGTGAAACACCTTAGTTTACATCGGCAAGTACATAAGTACTTAGCTGAATACTCCCTTGGTTTTAACTTGTAAATTTTTCTCAAATTTCAACAAGTGTTTAACAT